AGTTTTTGGTTTATGCAAAATGTTTTATGGGGATTTCGTCAGTACACATGGAACCCCATTACCTTAGGGACGAAACAGTTCATGGACAGTTTCTGAGACCAAATTTTTACGTGTTTTAATGCTGCAACTGGCATTCCCTTTTGAAAATAATGCTTGTATACAACATTTCCTACGGACTATGATAGAGTTGCTACTACAACTCATGAGGAAATACCTCACCTCTTTATGAAGTTAATGTTGCTGTTGTCATTAAGCCTAGGGATGAAACGCACACCAAAATATCGAAGCACAGAGAAAACCAAACCAGTTTTACAAACTAACATGCTCAATTGATAGTTTATCCTTAAACTGTATTTCAAATAGTAAATAAATAGAAAAAACGATTACGTTCACCTATTATGCCAAGAATAAAAATTAAAATGTGCTTATGCCTCATTCTCTTAAGCATGTGACATCCAACCATTTGGTCTCGCGTTTCAGATCATACTTATTCTACTTTTGTCTGAACAAGCAGATAATATCATACCATAGGCACCCATAAAGAAGGTTGGGCTATTAGCCTGGTAAATAAACAACTGAGCCGGATTGACTTTCATGTCTTTTGATAATGATAAGAAAAAAGAGTTCATAAATGGTTATTTGGTACGCTAAACTTTATTCAACTGTTTATCTGAGCACCAAAAAGAAGCAACAACAGCATTCATACTGAATTTGATTTTGATCTGTATGTAGAAAATGTAATCTTGCAACTTATTTCATACTTAGAGCCCCACCACAGAGGGCATCAACTCCCACCAAAACAAGTGGTTTTCATTATGTGGTGCTCTGTTTTGAAATGACCATCACTACCTAACTACAAAAGGGGTAATTTTGATTAGATTCACGAATATATTTAGTGTTTAAAATTAACACATCACTTGCTCGTAATAAACTAAAACAGTCACCTGGTATAGTTCCGCGCTTGCCCACTGTGATTTACAAGTTCAGACCAAATTCATATGGCCATCCCTAAGCATTGCTTCAACGTAAGACAAACAGCAGAATTAGTATTTGGTCACTGAACATTGCAGACTACCAGTCATTAGTGGGAAAAGTAACAAATTTACTAGCATAAAAATTTATGTGAACTGACAAGACAAACTAACATATGAGACAAGTTAGCAAGTTTTGTTCAGCAAATGCTTCTCCTCGAACCAGTATACTTTTTCCTAGGCTATAGCTGTACGTTATCAATAGTAGGTGATGAGAAACTTCAATAAATGCCCTCCGTGGTTAAAATGCTTCGAGGTGTAAGTTATCTGCCTCTTATAAGCCGTTTCTACGAACAGTAATTGTCACCAGATGATTTTAAGTAAGTAAATCTATAGACGTTTGCCATCTAAAGTAGATTCAGGTATCGGGTGCGAATCAGAACTCAACTACTAGAATTAAGATAGCAGTTTAGGGATATTTTCACTGAAGCAATGCACATATTCTTAAAGCTTTAGATTTATTCTGTACGTGCATGCTAATAAGTGATACTATTTAAAGGCCTTAGGCAGAAGTGAATGATTGATTTTACCTATAAATAGCTCCACGAAAATAAATAGTAGAATGTGCATGACATTAAAGAGCAGCATAGAAAATAGCATTTTGCTATTTATGACCTCAATAACATTTTAGGGAAATACTTCTGCACATATGGAGGACGGTATAGATGAAGCAGTGCACAAATCAAGGCGGTACCACGTTTTTTAGCTTCACGAATATGACTCAGAGAAAAAATATACCGATCACTACTGAAATTTCTGGTATCCTGACTGAATCTTTGTTACATACATATATGGAAGCAACGTACGACCCTTGTGCAAGAAAAACCTACTAGATAAAACCGAGATTTGTATGTGATTATAACTTTTACTTCACTGTTCTTTTTTATCTTTCCGTCGATCACCAATTATCATCACTTATTGTTTATTTGTGTTCTGGATGCATCCAACTCTAAGTAGTCAATCATACATACATAAACAGCATACTCAGACGATGCTTTAAACTATGTACGTGTTACTTAATATGCAGCTAAATTACCCTACAACAATCCCCTGACTGTTGGTGTTGCCTAATGGCAATTACTTTCATTGCATAAGATATTTATAGAAGAGAAAGAATCTAGTTTCTTCGAAGTTGTTCACTCCATTTAATTCAAATGTAGATATTTAGATTACTTTAGAGGAGGTAATCTTTGCAGTAAGGGTGTGTTGTTGAAGATGAACAAGGCCTCAGATGATACAAAAGTTCTTCATATTTCCAGTGATAAATTGTTTGGGAAGTGGTTCACCTTGCACTAGTTTAACTGACAGCATATGACTTCTAAGTGCATTTAAAAATTACGAAAAGGTTTACAGTGCTCTACCTTTGCACTTTTACACTTTGCATAATCATTTTTAAAAGTATGCAGATAATTGTTTAATAAGGCGAATACCTTACAATCATCACAAATATTTTTCAATAATTAAAGGCTTTAGATATGCAGTGTTTCATTCAAGTTGACTAACTTCAACTCTGAGGATATTATGAGTTTCAATAATTCATATTGACACTAAAAAGTAGTCGTTTCTTCACCTCGAAATGACATGAGGAAACGAGTATCTACCGGCTCAGCGAAAAATGTTAGGCGTAAAACATTTAAACAGCTAGTATTTCCGGTTATAGATTCCTCCCTGTCGCAAATGATTGATGATTTTGTTCCAAAACACCAACGAACCTGTACAAATATTTGTAAAACACCTCCTCATACATGTCAAGATGAACCTGAAACCAAACTTACCTGTACAGTATACAGCTTCACTTAAAATGGATTCAGACCAACAAATATAAAGCCATATTTTACACACATCACGAAGAAATTACACAGAAGTGGAAATATGAATGTCACGATTTATTATAAAGCCATGAGAGAATAAGGGAGTAAAGCTTTACCTTGAATCAGTTCACTTAAAGTCTCCAGATTTCGAATTCGGGTGAATCGCAGACCCCTGCTAAAGAGTCTGCACTCCCCTCCTAAATAGTGACAAGTATAAGAGATATCATTGACCGCAGTTATGCCCTTGTTTGACCACGTTTAGCTTGCTTCTAACCTATTCCTAATCCACCTAGCATAAAATGCTATTGGAAAAGCCAACTGTGCAATCTTAACACATATCTGAACAAAATCAGTCAACAACCATTTATAGCCTTGTCAATTGACCTCCTTGCTTTGATTCAACATGGCTATTTTATAACACTTCATAAATCCCTGATAGTTAGCAGCAGTCAAATGCTTATTACCATAAAGTTGTGAAGTTGTTTAGAAGGACAGTGAAAACTTTTTAAATCAGCCATCCGGCTCAAAGAATACAACACTTTCATAACTACCCTATACTTCCTGTTTATTTTCGTGATCAGGTAGTAGGACAGAATGCAACAGTGTGAGATAAATTCTACTCAGGCAGACGAAAGGGCTTCTTGTCGGCTTCCCCGGCCCACCTAACACCAATCGAAGTACACCACGATACTGTTTCTTAGTCTGGTAAACACGTTGCAACAATGATCAACAGAATCCGGTCAACACACATGAGTGAATGATATGAAAATGGTCACTCACCAGTAACCAATCAATGTACCTAATCCATTCCTACAGGAGGTCAGTCATGGTGCGAATAGCTCAGTGGTAATATCTCTGAATGCAGCACTGGTTGATGGGGGTTCGAATCTCTCAGTAAATATAGATTCTCTTGAGGCTGAAGATAAGTCCTGTTAACCAGTGACAAATAGCTAGAAACCTAGATTTAAGGTTTCCTATAAATTGCCTTCAACCATCCAACTTTGTTTAACTAGCTTGATTCTAGATGTACGAGTTTGTACGTCACCCAAGTAAATAACTGAGTCCACTATGTTTCATAATCTATATCCTGCGTGTAGAACTATATATATGATCACATACGTTGGTTCAGTTTTTCAACTTTGTAAATTCGACAACTTTCTGATTTCTCATTTTCAATTCAATATGTCACCATAGCTGCACAAACTTCACCAATATCTCAATCCGACGTGTAATTTGTAGAAAAAAATGACCTTTTTACAGAAATGCAAAAAAGGTACACAGGAATGATAGTACTCAATAATTTATTTGAACTGATTTTCCCGTATTTTATTTACTTCTGAACTATGAATTTTGCGTTTATTCTTGCCTCATCTTGTTATTTTGATATATTAAGTTTGGTGAGGTGAATATTTACATTTTTATGCAATAATCCGATGATATTCTTTCATTCATACTTATCAGATAGACTATTTTCGCCTATAAATATTGTGCATGATTGTAAGGTATGCCATTTGGTAGGTTAACTATTCAAAATTCATGAATTTAACTAAAATTTCACTAAAACTAATCTCCAACTTTATGTGTACAGAAGTAATAAATAATTCGATGGTATGAAGTCAAAATGCTCAGCTGCAAATAATAAAATCGAATTCAAGAAGCTCCCTTTAATGGAATCCGGATAAACTGTTCACAGATATATTTGTTGGCAAACCGAAGCTTACATTATAGAGCGTAAGTAAGATGACTGACTTTACCACTTTTAAGCCCGCTCAACCTCATTCAAGATGATGAATCGACTAACCACGGAAAACTTATCAACGAAACATCAGACTTCAAGAGAAATAAAGAATCCTAAAAAATGGCTGTAACACCAGCTACTGCTTCACATTATGGTCAGTGATGAATTCATAAATTAGAATTCTATCCAATGTGGCCCCACCCAACTGACTGGAAAAACACATATATCTAATTTGTTTTCTTTATCTCAAAAAAGGCATTTGTTTAACCTCAACTTCAGTCACAATGTATGCATTGTTAAATTTTATGAACAACTATTTCAAGATGGCAAGAGTTTTAAAACATTTCGACTGAACAAAACACGAGCAGTCAGTATCTGTAAATTAGTTAATGGAATGAAAGTAAACTAACTGCTACTTACACGACATGTTGTTTTAACCAGTTTATCAATTATCTGATCAGCTAATGTATACGACAATTTTCTAAGTTCATCGATTTCAGCCACTTCTTCAGGAGCTTGTAATTCACCAAATAAGTGATTTAAAGATAATTCTGATCTGGAAATATCTTGGTGACGATGCTCTAAATCGGTGTTGCCATTGCTGAGGATGATGAAATAATATCTTTACCATCAACTATAATTGATGGGGATTTGATGTCATGCGTAAGCCATCCAGATGTAAGATAGATCGCTAAATCGTAGAAGAATAAACTGAGCCAAAATTGGAAAACTGGTCGGTTTGATTCAGTCTATGTAGAAAGATAGACAAAAACAAAAGACCCGAAAAACAAAATTAAAACAAGGAAATCTAAATGTTTTAAACTATTTTAGATACATGATAAAAATTGTTAAGTTTCAAATGTTAATTTTATGTTGAACAGCAGTCAGTTTTGTACAATACTTCGTAGTTGTTTCTTCGGTAAATACACTTCATCACACAGTATTATCCTAAGTATGATAAGGTAAGACAATATATCAATGCATACCTTGTTTAGTCAACAGCATATTTACTTTATGCGATACATAATTAGTAGTAATAAGACGCTATTGATAATGTTATTAATCTACCTGCAATCTTGAAAAAATGTTGTCTAGGAGAATAAAACCCGAGTCAGACTTGACGACTAAGCTAAACATGTCACAAATGAACCCTTCTAGGACGGAAGTATCTACATGAATCGGTTACCAGATAGCGATCAATGTAGCTATCAAGTCCTGGTTGCTTAGAAATGATAGTTCTACCAGTTGTCATGAAGTGGACAATGTATGTCGTGACACATGCTTTCGATTTTCTGTTTATCCTCCTGACAAATAGTGAATATTATCTCTAATTTGAGATTTTCTACTGGATGAACAAATCCAAACGATACTGTTAGTCAAAGACGAAAATTCACCAATCACCATGCTTTCCTCAGAAAGTTAATATATAAAGATCTTGACGAATAATCAATTTAAAATTGGAGGACCATTTTAACAGTACAACATAAACAACTGATCACCATACTGAAGCACAGATTTTTAATGCAAGTCAACAATCTCCTAGCTCACCAACACCTGCATACTCTTCAGGTTCATAATATTAATACTTATAATTGTCATTAAAACACAGAGCATATCAAATCAAAAGTAAACAAGTCAAATAATAAATATAATAACAGTTTCATTGAACTCAAATAATACTTCGATTTCGAAGAACGTCTACTCAGATCACGATCCTTCAGGGGCATAACTGAACTCATTGTTCTAAACGCTGTTGTGTCTGAATCACTGAAGATGCAAACTGGATACAGGAAATGGTCCAAATGAATATCTATGCACTCAATGTCACAATAATCAAAGGAAACTGCTAATAACAAACCACTTCGCAAGAGCAAACTACTTAGTCATTCATTGATCAATATTGATAGAAGGACAATAAAACCTTCATGATTATACCACCCAGCTCAGAGAATCTAGCACAATCAAACTTTTTGAACTATTCACAAACATTTAAGGCATGACATTCACAGCAAAATACAGTTATCAATCAAATCAGTTGAAGGAAGAGGCTGAGTAGACTGGAAGACGAATTCTCATACCAATGACATGAAAGAAGAATGGATAATTGATTTTCATGTACATTATTTTACGAATAAGCTATCTAGTCAAAATCTATGTCGTTCACTAGCATAAACTTAAAACACGCAATTATCCATGTACCTACATACATACATTAGTCAAAAGATGTAACCTGACTGGATACAAAGGTGTTCAAAACAAACTTCTACGTAATCGTTTATTGAAACCCAGATAATGTAAACTTTGCAACTGTAAATTTCACAATTCCATAACATCTGGTGAACTACTGAAAACCTTATATTCTTGGGTAGGTATTCCGTCATAGTTTGGGACTCCATATCAGTGCTCACTCAAAGTATGATCGGGCTTCTAGCCCTCATGTTTCACATGGTGAACGCGATATCACTAAACTACTGTCTACGTCCGCTAAGATGCTTAACACTTGTAACTCAAACCAACGCATTGCTGAGTTCAGCTAACCATATATTTAATTAGTACTTGTAGAAAAAGATATTTAATTCACAAGAATTTGTATATATTTAGTATGCAGAAAAAAAATGCAGTAATATACGACGTAACTGGTTTCGAAAAGTACTTAAGAGTTCCATATCAAGAGTTTTTACAGTTTTACACAAATAGAATGTACAGAAGTCAGTATGCTGACCTGGTTACGTAATAACCAGCAATATATTTCAATAAATGCACACAACACAAGCATTTTCTTTATTTATTTGTCCTTGGGTTCCCAATGGAACATAGAGCTTCAGTAGCACGTCCTTAATGCGCTCTCTTCTCCGAAATCTCTTCAACCTGGCTCCATGACAGCCCACAAGCTCTCATTTCCTCCTCACACGATCTCCTCCATGTCACCCTCACCTCAGACGCCCAACTCGTCGCTTCCCATCTCGGTTCCACTCGAGGCTTGGCCTGATGCGAGTTGTCCCCAGTCGGCCTCCTCAGTGTATGCCCAATCCATCTCCACTTCCTTCCAATGCATATTTGTTGTGTGATAGGTTCTTGGTTGGTTCGTTGGACAGCCAGAGTTCCTTGTTGCTTATCCTTAGTGTTCTGGCCATCTGATCTTCAGTAACGAGCCAGAGTAGGCAGTTGTTGATGAATGTCTGTAGTTTGTTGGAAATCACTTTTGTAACGCGCCAAGTCTCTGAACCATACAGGAGCACTGAATTGACGTTCGTGTTGAAAATCCGGATCTTGTTCACACTTTATGCTGAGTGCAGTGCAGTGCAGTGCAGTGCAGTACAGTGCAGTGCAGTAGATCTCCACACTGGTTTCACATTAAAGAAGGAAGGCCTGACTTGCTTTTCCGATCCTGACTTTCACGTCCCCGTCCGTGCCTATGCCGCCTGTAGTTGAAACAACACTGCCTCACCTAGATAGGTGAAAGAGACTACCTCCGTCAGGTTTCTCCCATTCATGGTGATTGGAGCTTGTTGTTCTTGTTGTTGTTGGTTGGGTGTCTTCATCACCTCTGTCTTCTCCACTTTCACTTGAAGTCCGTCTCCCTTCGCTGCCCTGCCTCTTCTGACAACTTGTCACTTTTCGCTTGCAGATCTTCAAGTTTGTGTGACATTAGACACAAGCCATCATCAGTGAAATCCAAATCTTCTAGGATATATTCCCCGGTACAGCGTATCCACCTCTTCTCACAGCTCATCACTGTTTCTTGCATGATACAGTTCACCACAATCACGAACATCATGGATGAAAGTAGGCATCCTTGTTTCACTCCGGCCTTCACTAAAAAGGCATCACTGAGCTTCCCCTTGTGAATTACTTGGCATGTGACGTCTTCATATATTTATTGAATGAGAATGATAAAGGTTTCTGGAATTCCATAGTGTTGAAGCAGCTGCCTGCCAAATTACTTCTCAGTCGACGCTATCAAAAGCATTTTCAAAGTCGACGAAGTTGAGGTAGAGGATTGACTGCCATTCTATACTCTGTTCTATCATGATGAGCAGCGTTGCAATTTGGTCCGCACATAATTTGTACTTCCTGAATCCAGCCAGCCAGCCAGCCAGCCAACCTGTCTGTTTGTGTCGTAATTTTGAATCCAACGCATCTCTTAGTCTCTCCAGGATGGTGCGGCTTAATATTTTGATTGCTGTGGGTGGACAGCAACAGGAGCATAACTCCGTGTCAGTTCTTGCGAACACTTAGGTCTTCCTTGTTTGAGATTTTGACAAGGTAGCTCTTCTTCCAATCGACAGGTACTTCTCTTTCCTTCCGAACCTTCTGCAATAATGATGTGAGCATGTCGGCTGATGTCTCTGCGTCTGTTTTCAGTGATTCTGGAAGAATTCCATCTAATCGTGCGGCTTTTGCACATTTCAGTATCTATATGGCATTCAGGACTTCGACTTTTGTCGGAGGGTTTGTGTTCACGGGTAATTCCGTGGCTTGGTTGCTGGTGGTATTTCTAGAAGAGTTGCAGATGGTGGTGGTGGTGGTCGATTCAAGAGCAGTTTGAAGCAGTCAGTCCTTTGTTTCTCCTCTTTGGTAACTAGGTTTCCTTTACTAACTTTCATTGGTTTCGCCTGAGTTGATCTCTTCCCAGATAGTAACCTGGTTATTTGATATAATGTTGTCAGGTGTCTGTCTATCCTACCTGCAGCCTGTTCTGCTTCACTTGCCAATGTATTGTGGAAGTGTCTTTTGTGTTTCCGCACACTCTTCTTCACTTCTTTGTCCAGTGTAGTGTTTCATAGGTTGTGTTCACTTCCTCTTCTCGTTGTTCATCCGTGCACTAGTTTATCTTCTGCTCCACCATCTTCTCTCCTTGCTCTATCAGCTTCCATGTGTCCATCGAGATCCATTCCTTGTCCTGCTTCTTCTTCCTTCCTAATACAGTTATGCAGGTTTCTTTCTACATAGCTTTCAAAGACTTTTAGTGTTCTGTCACACAGGTTTCTTCAAGGATGTTCCTCGATATCTCCCATTTTCTCTTGATGGCTGCCGTAAAGAAGTCCTTTGTAGTTTCGTCCTTCAGTTTCTGTTCTCTGTGTTGAACTTGAAATGTGGTCTATCATCACCACCTCGTTTGAAGGCTTTCAAGTTGATTTGGAAGGTTCCTTGCACTAGGTAGTGAATGGTGTGAACCTACATCTGCTCCTCTTCTTGATCTTGTGTCCAGTAGGCTGTGTCTCCACTTTCTTTACATTGAGATGAAGTCGATCTGAATTTTAATGTGTCCGGTGAAATCCATATCGCTGCCTTGTTAATATCCACGTGTTTGTACACACTGCCTCCAATCGCCAAATCTTTGAATGCACAGAAGTCTTCAAACAGTTCTCCATTCTCATTCATCATTTCACCGAGTGCTTCTCGACCCATGGTTGGTTCTCTTCATGTGTTGTCCCCTCCCAGTTTGGCATTCATGTCACTCAGAATTTTGATGTCATCAACTGGGGTGGGTCTTGTCCAGTACTGATTGCAGTTGTCTGTAGAATTCCACCTTCTTCTCTTGGTCTCCATTATTCGTAGGTGAGTAGCGCAGCATTGTATGATTGTGACTTTCCGTCCTTTTGATTTGAACCTTCCTATCATGATCGTGGAGGAGATTGGTTCCCACTGTATGAGAGAGTGAGAGCCTTCGATGCTGTTTCGGACATCATGGTAGCCACTCCATAACTCAGTGTGCTGTGCTCGTGGTTATCGTCTGGGTGACAAT